GGAGTGAAGAATCAGCGTAGATTTCATCCCTGGAAGAGGGGCAGCCAACACCTTCCTAGACCTAGGTCCCTCCGGGGACCATTGCACAGGTCACACCCGCGGAAGTCTAAGAGACCCCGGGTATACGTTTGGGCAAAGCGCGCTGGTTTGTAAAACAAGTGGCATTACTCACACTAGCCCATTCGGGCAGCAGTTCATGAGGGGTATAAACCTAAAGCAGGGGGGCGTGGCCGACCGGAGAGCGAGACGGACATGTTCTAAATCCTCTCCTCAAGACCCGGGCTGAATCCGAAGTGATCGGAGACCTACGCGGAACATGGGTAACCAAAAGAAGTACCAACAGATGCAGGGAACCCAGGGGAAAACCCCAACGGCCAAATCGGGCACTCTCACCCGTTTCCTGAGAGATAGCTCGGAGAGAGACACGGAGGCCGCGGCCGCGACCTCCAAGATGGCGGGAGCTGACCCTATGGCGGAATCCCTACCACCCAGCCCTCAACCATCGGAGGGCTCTCTGAAATCGTTGGAGATCATTCCAGACCTAGATATCAGGGATCTCCTAAAGAACTTACCGTCGAAAACGGATATGGAGCACATGATACACAGATTGGAAGCCTCCCTGCATTCCAAGATGGCGGAAATGGGAACGGAAATCCAACAACTAAACTTGAAGGTGGGTGACTTGGAGGAAGAGAAAGATCTTATGCAGGCTCAAATCACTAACATCTCCACCACCTTAAACTCCCACATACAATTTATGTCTGCCACCCAGAGGCACATCGATGACCTCGATAATAGGGGTCGCAGGAACAACTTGCGCATAAGGGGGGTGCCGGAGTCCCCAACGGAAGACCTGACGTCCATCCTAACAGAGCTCTTCGGGCTACTGATACGAGATGCCCCTGCCAACCTCCTGTTATTGGACAGAGCACATCGCTCCCTGCGCCCCAAGGGAATCTCTCAAGACTCCCCACGAGACATTATTTGTAGATTACACTACTTTGACACGAAGAATGGAGTAATGAGAGCATTAAGGGAAACTTCACAGCCGCTACTGTATCACGGTAATCCCATACAAATATATCCTGACCTCTCCTGGTACACTCTACAGGCTAGGCGGGCCCTTAAGCCAATCACCGAGCTGCTGCGCAACAGAAACATCAAATACCGCTGGGGCTTCCCCTTTGCCCTGATAGTGAACTACAAGGGAACTGTCACCCAAATAGCCTCAATTCTAGATGTCCCTCCTTTCCTCCGGGCCCTGGAGCTTCCAGACACGACGATAATGGATTGGAACTACCCGATACCCCACCAAGACAACTTGCAACTAACTCAACGACAGAATTGGAGTACTCCGGCGAAAACGAGCAGAAATGACGCCGGATTAACTTCTCCACAAGCAAGACGGGGGAGACAACCCAACACCCCTGCCCGCAAGCGAATGGCCACAGGCGACTAGGAGGCTACTTCAGGACCAAGCACCCCTACACAGGGACACAAAGATCGACTACACGGACACGAAGCCAGATGAAGTATCTGGAAATCCTCTATACTCCTTCACTCTTACAAACTGCACAAAAGTCCTCTTGGAGACATCTGCCACTGAGAATCGTCTGACCCTGGGGACGTCTGAACAGGGAGGTGACACCGGAGCATTGAATGATATATGGATATGACGTCCCTCTTTTCATAGACTCCAAGGCCAGGCAATGGACGCTATCATACCTCACTTACCAAAGGGGAGGGCAAGTATGCTCCGACTAACAATATGTACTTTGACACCAATGGGACGTTATTCTCACTGTAGCCTTAGCACCAGGCCTTGTTAATGCAGGTCTTTTAGCTTGAATTAGCCTATAAGGAATAACAACTCTCGTAGTGGGTCTCCCCCAGTTAGTAGTTAATATATAAAAAAAAAAAAAAAAAAATATTTTTAGCATACCCATCTTAGGTTCCATAGTTCTCCAAACGAATACTTAATCTTTGAGGATTGACAGTCCCGGGTCTCAGGCGCATCCCAAGACCACACAACCCCATTTTAGACTTGGTTCTAACTCTTGCGCCGAGATAGGACCAGATTCCCCCTCAGGGAAAACCAGTCATACTCCTAGGAGTAGACACCTTCCCAGATCTATCCGCTTCCCCATTTTATACTACCGATATCCCAATTGTACCGTAAGGGTGATAGAGCGACAAGGTCATAACGAGTCGTTAGTACTTGAATCATACTAACATAGTCAAGTAGGAGCCACTAAACAGTGGCCCACTGAGGGCTGGGCGAGATTTGCCATTGTCAGTGCTTTATCTCGATTGTTTTTGTTAACTGCTTCAACATCTTAACTACAGACATTTTGTGTTTATACTGTTTTATACTGTTTCTTCCAAGGTTCAGTTAATACCGACCAGGACTATCTACGTGACACGACTATAAGCTAAGGAGCCACCGGCCACCTCCCCCATAGCCCCCACCGGCAGGGGCCACTGTGGCAGGACAGATCCCGCGAAACTACCCAGGCAGATAGTCTCTCTCCTCCTTCCCCCTCACCACCCTCGGGCTAAAACCCGAGATAAGGTAATCTAACACTGCACAAGACACACACCGATCTACTGACACTCCACACACGGGCTGAGATACTGAATTAGGAACAATACACCCAGGGGTCACACTGGATACGGTACAGTACACGACATCTCAATCACATCTCTCTCTCCAGGTATCTCCTCTACCAATTTCCCCCGGGATGGCATCCATAACACTCCTCACGCAAAACGCGAGGGGCCTCAACACCCCAGAGAAGAGATCCATGGCCCTAGCAGACTTTAACAGACACAAAGCACATATCGTTTTTGTCCAAGAAACCCACTTCCGCAAAAACACCCCCCCTAAATTACAAAACAGGGACTTCCCAAGAGGATACTTTAGTCATTACTCAGAAGCAAAAGCACGAGGGGTCGCCATACTTATCCACCGCCACACACAATTCACTTTCCAAGACCAACAACAAGACGATTCCGGCAGGTTCCTTTTTGTAAAAGGAAAGCTGGGACACACCCAAATCACGCTGGCCAACATCTACCTACCCAATAAGAAACAGGCCCAATCCCTCAAAAAAATCTTAGAGAAACTTTCGCTATTCCATGAAGGGATGGTGATCCTGGGAGGTGACATTAACAATTCTCTAGACGGAGCCCTAGATTCTACCACTACCGCCCACAAATACCAATCCCAATCAAGACTGCAGATGAAAAAAATTCTCTACGATGCTCAACTGTATGATGGGTGGAGAGCGATCCACCCTACGAAGAAAGATTACTCTTTCTTCTCACCACCTACGGGGACCTATTCCCGTATAGATTCTTTCTTCCTACAGCATAGATACTTACCCATGATACAGACGTCCTCCTATGGACCCATCACGTGGTCTGACCACGCTCACCTGACGCTCACATTGACCATACCATCCCTACCCAACCCCTCGGCACAATGGAAACTGAATGACCTGTTACTAAATCCCCCGGACACTCTTGCACAAATTAGGAAGACGGCCACTGACTACTTTAGGGAAAACACAACGGCGGACACTGCTCCCATAATGACGTGGGAAGCACACAAAGCAGTACTCAGAGGTGAACTAATCCGAATAGCCTCCAACCTGAGACACAAGAGGGAAAGGTCTATTATCAGACTCACTAGGGAAATCAAAACTCTAGAATGCAAACACCATGACATATCCACGCTGCAGGACTACTCCTCGCTACTAGCCAAACGGACAGAATTAAATACGATTCTGACCCTCCATGCCAAAAGGAAAATGTCTCTGACGAAAAGCACATACTATATGCAGGGAGGCAAAGCTGGGAAACTCCTAGCACAGTCGTTACAGAAAGAACGACAATCTACCTTCATTTCAGACATTAGAACTGAAACAGGCAGGTTAACTAGCCACATGCCAGACATAATGGGAGCATTTCACAAATTCTACACCGACTTATACAACCTGAAATCGGCCCCTCCCACACCCCAAGACGTAATAGATTTCCTAACATCCAGAATTAAGGGCACCCTCCCGGCCAACGACATGGCATTCCTAGACGACCCAATCTCGGTGGACGAATTTCTTCAAGTGACTAAGACCATACCCATAGGCAAAAGCCCAGGCCCAGACGGATTCACCGGGAAATACTACAAACTAATGGCACCAATTCTGGCACAACCCTTTATAGATGCTTTTAACACACGAAACCTATCGACCTGCATTCCACATACTGCGCTCGAGGCAACCATTACCCTGATACCGAAACCGGGTAAAGACCTGACCTCATGTGGCAGCTACAGGCCCATATCACTGATAAATCTAGACTTGAAAATTCTCACGAAAATAATGGCCACTAGACTCAAACCCCTACTCCCTGGTCTTATTCACCATGATCAGGCTGGCTTTGTCCCACACCGAGAGGCCAAGAACAACACCACAAAAATCATTAACCTTATCCACTGGGCGCAAATACACAAACTCGACAGTGCCCTTCTGGCCATCGATGCTGAAAAAGCTTTTGATAGGGTCAGTTGGGCGTTGCTGAAACACACAATCCATTTACTGGGCTTTGGCTCTCGCTGGCAGGAGTGGATAGACGCTATCTATTCACGTCCAACAGCCAGACTTCGAATAAATGGCCAATTGACACAAGCAGTGACCATCACAAATGGCACAAGACAAGGTTGCCCACTCTCACCCCTCCTTTTCATACTGGTGCTAGAACCTTTTCTGCAGGGGATAAGGGACAACACACACATAAGAGGCATTTGCATAGACTCACAGGAATACAAGGTCACAGCTTTTGCGGACGACCTCCTGTTCACTGTGACAAGTCCGTCAGAGACAATTTCCCACATAATTACCGAAATGGAAACCTATGGGAGACTCTCAAACTTCCGGGCAAATCTGTCCAAATGTGAACTACTACCTATACACGCAGCAACCTCACTCAATACTACGCTGAGAACTAAATATAAATTTACCTGGGCCTCCAAGTCCATCAAATACCTAGAAGTCCACATCCCAAACGATTTGGAATGTACTTATAAATTAAACTTTCTTCCACTATTAGAGACCATTGCCAAGGACCTACGAGCGTGGCACAAACCATGCTTTGGGTGGTTTAGCAGAATTAACATACTAAAAATGAACCTCCTCCCTAGGGTGCTCTATCTTCATCAA